CCTCCCTCTCAAGGCGGCAAATAATGACCACTCCCCTATGAGAAGATGACGAGATGTGATGCACAGTATCCCGGGGACGTTTGCGTATTTTAAAAGAGGTTATTTGAAACGATTCCTTTAATTTTCGTTAATAATAAATTCATTTTTATTGAATGTAAGTCATTGTTTTCTCCAATTTTAAACATCCATTCCCCATTATCAAGCTCTTATTTGACGTATGAGTTGCTGGTTTCACGATCAGCAGTTTCAAATCAGAGTCAAACAATCTTCATTTTTTATGACTCATTCAGTAACTTTTTCATCCATCTCGTACCCAGGACTATCAAACCTGGTTGGACCTAAGGAGTCTGGAAGCGGCTGTCGGAGAACGCTACCTTACTCACGAAAGTGATGACGCAAGATGGGAGGCGTACGCTGAGCAGCTAAAAGCGCGCCAAAACAGGGAACCCTCACGGGAGTCAGCGCGGCCGACCAATAACAGATTTTTCCCACCAATGTCACCAACGGAACGCAAACTTCAAACAAGTATTAGTTTCCTGTGAAAAAAGCTATGGTTACATTTTAAGATAATTATAAGATACGTGTCATTAATTAATATTTTATTTGTCAGTAAAAAAAAAGGCTTCTGACATGTTGCTATTCGTTAAAAAGACTGTCCCCACGTTTGAAACTTTTCAAGGTTTTTCGATCATTGTCCAGCGAAACACAGCGGTCAAACGTCTGCGCTTGTGCGAAAGTTGTTGGGTGGCGTGCCTTAGGGCTATCAGGACTAAGTTGTTTCACTCGAGTTAAAAGTAATTACACAAGCTAGTTCGTCACGGTATTTAAAAAGTCTGCAACTTTTTTCGGTAAAGTTCAAAACAAAATATTAAATCAACAGGATACCCGTACATGAATAAGCTTTGTGTAAGTCTCCTTTTTACCTACTGTTGTTTCCTTTTCTAGATTTCTATGAACGTCTCAATTTTCCTTCGCTTCTTTTGCGGAACAATGTTTATTAATTTTTCGATAGAAATTTCGCGAAAAATTAGGGCGCGGACGTCCAGAATTGATCCCCTCGCGCATGCCCTACGCTTACCCGCTGTGTTGACTTGCAATGACTAATTTTGGGAGTGCAAACGTCCGGGAGGGGTGGGTGGGATACGAATCGTCATATTTTGCCAAAATTTCACTAAAAAAATTCCAATGTTGCAATTATAATGACTAGTAAATAACAGGCAGAATTCAATGCACACGTTTGCTTATATATTGTATTTTATCAATAATGATCAACATTCCACGTCGAAAGTTATTTGTAAGTTGTTTGTCCTAAATTTTAGTACAAGGATTGTATTGTCAATGAAAGGATGGTTCATGCACAGCTGCTACAAGGATCTGAAACGTAGTTACCGTTTATAGTATTTAAGTAAGACTATTTCAATAATTTCACTTTTGTATTTTGGTGTTAAAAAGTGGCCTGTTTGCACATGTGCGATCTCGCTTCTAGTGCCTTCGTTATCCATGTCCAGCGGATTGACTGGTGAATTAAACAGAGCAGTTTTCAATTGAATGTTGTAAACCAAAATCAAAGTAATCACAGCTACCAATCACAGCAAAGGGTTAACATCATTAACCAATCAGAACTTAGCAAAGACAGGCAACCAGCTTGAGGCGCGGGAACGCGAGTGACCAAGTTGAGGTTGCTTCTAGTTTGTATTTATTGGTTGAGAAGCTGGCGCGATTTCTCTTTGACCTATCGCAGAGCGAAGGCCAAACCCAAAACAATTCTTCATTACTTTCGGCACTCAATTGAAAATTTCTCTAAAACACAGAACAGGATAAGCGAGCTCGACGACAGAATCTTGCGTCCGAGCAGCTGACCAAATGGATCGCGGTACTCAAAACGAGATTGGCATAGCTCTGAAACTGAGTCTTTCCCGCGCACGTAGTTAACTGAGTGTAATGTTTGATCCAAAAACTCCAGACACATGATGCAGCCCTACAGACATCTGTTTGGTGGCTCTTGTTGGCTAATGCAATAATTAATCAAGTCCACCTGGAACTTAGGAGCCACATCATCAGGTTGGAATTCATGAGGTTGAACCTTGTTTCCAAACAGTAAAATATTCTGCGCCATAAGATATGCACCTTTAAGCTTATTTTCAGTAAGATAACTAAAGCTGTAAAGTTCTGATGGGCCTTTACAAAACCGCGAGGGATTAATAGACAAAGGTAACTTTAACACAAAACAGAAGGCAATGTACAGTGTAGTCCGTAAAATTAAAACGTGCGAAAGCTGAAGAAATTTTTTTAGAGGAACGTACCATTGCAAAATAAACTAGTTTTCACTCAATATTTTGTGGATGTGTTTATTTCGTGTTACAGACGATGAAAAGTTTTGGCGTGAGAAAGGTGTGGTAGGAGTAACTTTAGACCAAGAGCGCGACAGACGCGAGTCTGTAAAGACGGAGAGGTCGTCGTTCAGAATTCGTGTCTGCTTCCCCTTTCCTCTTTCCTTGATCGATTTGTTCAATCTAAGTTGTTCTTTCTTCGACGATCGTGAGTGCCTCTTTCTCACCTATGATCCCTTTTCCAGGCCCCGGTCGCTCGAAGGGTAAGTATTGCCGTCCGATGAATAAATCTGTACCCAATGGATAGCCAGCACGTCTGCTGGATAGCTATTTATTAGTTAAATAACGTTGTCCGCCCTTAGAAAAAAGAAGATCCAGGAGATTTAGAGAATGAATCGATTGTCTCTGGCCTATTGTTACAGAAATAAATACATTGCGAGATCAATTCACCACAATGACAGATCCATGCGTTCGACTCATCGCACGTTGATTTTTGCACTGGCGGCAAAGGGCTTGGAATCCTTCTCTTTCGACGCATCCATGCCTGTTGGGAACCTCTGTTTTTGCTCAGTTGTTGGAGATAGAAGTTACCTATACCCACAGTTTGGCATGAGAACGGTAAATCTCATGCCAAACAATTTCTAATCTGAACTTAACGCGCGTAAGAAACGACCTATCAGTAGCTCACCGGGAAACACTTCCGCTAACAGTGGGAAATTTAGAGTCCAGTTTCAAACTTTTCTGCCTGGAAAAGTAAGTGGCCGCAAGAATGGAACAAGACAGTGAAATTTTCGAAACTGTTATGGTTTATTTCTCTTTCCTCAAAATAAAAAATGAAGAAAGAAAATCGTTACAAAAATGTGCTTTAGCTTAATATCTTATAACAAAACAAAAAAAAATACCAAAACACTGATGACAAAAAATTACGATTATTTAAATACTTAAATCGCCCCTGTGCACTACATACTTACTAGCTAAGTTGAGACTATTCGAGGTGTCAAAAAACTTATTTGCCGTTACGAAATGCATTTGTTGTCTCGAAATTCGAAAAAAAACGTGACTGCATTGTTGGTAAAGATACTATTGCTAATAGGCTATAAAACTTCAAGAAACTTCAAAACTTTTCGATGCCGAGGGTTCTTTTACAACTTTGGCTTATTAAATTTCTAATGGGATAGATAATCACGTCACGGTTGGGTGGAGTGCAGGTGTCACTTGTTTATCACTCATGGAGAACCTACTGATTGCAAATCGAGTACATTCATAGCCTGCGAGGAGGCGTTCTCGTCCCGCGGGAAGGTTTAAGACGAGTCGGGGAGAAGTTACCTATTGCTATCTCGCGTTCCTTAAAGCCTCCTAATTTCCCAAGGGCGAAGAAAGGTTTGTGCCGAAGCGGTAATAGTGAGCACAGGCTAGTACATTCGTGTATTTTAAGTTATTGATTAGTTAAATCTCTTTATTTTTATTTCCCTTTTCTTAATACGCGGAAGAATTTTGGTGGGAAAGTCTCCTATAGGGCGGAAAGCAAAGAAGTGTCTTTTTGCTCCGACATAATTACGAAAAAAAAAGATTACTTTAGCAGGTAATAGTTTTGAGGATAGTAGCACTTGCTCTCCTCGGTGACGCGAAAAAAAGAAGCATACTTCACGATTTTACGAGCGTAATACGTAAAACCTTATAAATGTCCCCGGTGTCTTATTCATTTTGTATAACATAGATGTTAGGTTGTTTATCTTCGCGCAATCTCTGCCTTGACGGCGAGCGCGGAATACACAAGGAACACTTCTCATCTCGTGAACGCTTTTGCAAGATCAGAATCAGCAGGGGCCCGGCAATTAGAAGAGACACGAACACTGTGAACACGATAAAACCAATTCTCGCTGATAGGAAAAAAAAAAAAGTAAAGAATAAAAATATTAGGAATTTTGTGAACCAAGAAGACAAAACTTTCTGAGTTCTACTATGGAGGGCCACAGAGCCCTAATGGTCTGCGAGCAGGACTCCAGGAAGAGAGATTTGGGTTCGAGCCTTGATCAGGCCATTGTGTTGTGTTATTGGCCACAATATTTAATTCTCCCTGTTCTCGTACTTAGCCTTAAGAGACAAAACAAGAGAGACCAAATAGAAAAACAAGAAACTAATAAAATCAAATTACTTCCTACCTGAAGAACATGAAGATTGACCTGGTTTTGAGGTGAAAAAATCGTTCTTACACTTGGTGCACGATGACGACCTGAAACAAGTCAATATATCTATTCATTCTTGACCCTTTAACTCCCAAGATCTGATTGTTAATTCTCCCATCTAACTGCTATACATTTTCTTGTTAATAAGTCACGAGAATTTGGTGTTAAATCAGCTACTTGATAAATTTGAGTATTCTTATAACATGTTGGTTGGACAATGTGTGTATGTTATAGCAAGAAGTTTAATCACTTATAGGAGTTAAAGGGTTAAAGTATCATGAGGTAACTTTCATATTTCAACGCATGCACATAAGACACCTCTATAAAGATCTCTAGAAATAACGCATATTTATTCCATAATCTTCATACAAATAACGCGGAATTTTACAAGAGGGAATGTGCACTTGACCTAAATCTAAAAGTAAGGGGTTTCGGGAATAGGAAACGGTCTACTAAACTGTCAGTTGCAGGAATGTCACGCAGAAATGTTTTCATTGCTTCCTTACACAAATCTTAATCCTTAAAACTCAATAATGGCGCATGCTACACAGCGTACTGAGGTTGAGTTCTCTGAGTTTATAACCAAGGAAGAAACATCTTTACAAGTGCCTGTTTTTAGAAAACTGGAATCTTATCAACCACAACAAGAAAGAAATAATAACAAAAATCAAAATAATAATAATAATAATAATAATAATACAAACCCTGTCTTTGATGCAAAGGTACCCTTTGCACAACGTGTGCACTGCATACTTCTTGTCTTTGAACTGTATGTTCCAGCTGGACAGCTGCAAGATCACAAGCAATTAAGTTTAATACTTCAATGTGTTTGGTGAAATTTTCTCTGATGAGTATTAATAAGGGAAACAGACACCAAAGGGTCTGTTAACAATCCATATAGAGCACTCACATTTTAATGAGCCCATCTCTGTAATAAGCTCCCCTCTCTATTCATTGGCCCTCATAAATAAGACTCCTCTCTTAAAAGTCCTCATCTTAAATCAGCCCCCCCCCATCTTGAGCTTTCCTGTCAAAGATCCCCTCCCTAAGAAGCCCTTGTCTCCACAAGCCCTCCCCTCTTCCATTATAACAAGGCTCCCTCAATGATAAGCCCACTGTCGAAAAAACACCACCCTTCTGTTAGAAAATCCTCCTCTTGAGTATGCCCCCTCTCTGATTTGCCCCCTCTCATACATGCCCCCTTTATAACAGCCCACTGTCCAACAAGCCCCTCTCTCTTCTCTGATAAACCACCTGTCTAAGAAATCTCCCCTAATGTCCTGCATGGTAGTTCCAGGCTCTATTAACAAATTTGGACTGGTCAGGCTACATCCATATGCACCTTAATACTTGCATTTAATCAAAATCATTTATTGTGAAATGAATGCTTAGAGTTTTCTTCCATTATCTATTTTCATTTATCTCACAAGAAACCTCCCTTCAGCTTCTACCTATTATACAGTTTACCTTATTATTACAGTTTACCTTGTGCATTGTAGCATGCTTTTGTTTGACACAGTTCCTAAGCTGTAAGTTCCTACTGGACAAGGACTGCAAAGAATGTTACTTGACAGAAACTCCCCTGGTCCACAGAGGACTGAAACACAAGAAAAAAATATCTTTAGTCATATTCCAACAAGCTTTGTCACATGTGTTTAAACCCTACAGATAAATCACTATCCAGTGGATAACTGTTTACAAAATGTACTGCACTATTCACCAGATAGCAATTTATCCAGAGGATAGTGTTATCCAACATTTAAACAACTGGGACCAGGCTGATGAGAACACATAAACTTTCAAGCTAGAGGGTGTAATCTTGAGATTTCACTGAATTTCCCTAACCAGTTCAAATGGAAATGTGAATAACAGCAAGAAGGAAGATCTTTGAACTGGGAGCCAAGAGTAAACGCAAGCCTTGTTTATAAAAATGATACAAGATAAACCTTCCATTACAGAAAGAAGTTATCCAGCTGACCTTAATCAGAAAGTGAAGGTTCCCTGAACTCAAGAATAGCCCATACTATACATACATGTATTCAATATAGCAACCACTGGCATATTGGTTTTAAGTACACAACTCACAGATTTGACTTACCAGTATATATTAAGTAATTTCAACCTAAAACTTAAAAATACCTCAGAATTTGAAACTTCAACCAGACATATTACCTGGGCAGTCTGCGTCCACAGTGCAGTCATCACAGGACACTTGATGAACGTTTTTCAACAGCACAGGTGACAAAAACAAACTCTTATTGACCATGTTACAGCTGAAATCACATTCCTCATTACCAACAAAAAAGCAAAGTTATTAGTCATACTATAAAACAAATTGAAATGTGTCGACTTCTTTTGATTCATCATCCCTTTAACCCCCCCTGAATCAAACATTAAGGTTGTGAGAATAAAGGAAATGATCACAAACTCAAGATGCTCCTGATTTTTGGGCAAATTCTCATTGTAGGTAGCATAGGAAATGTGTAGAAAAACAGTATGGAGAACCATCTTAGGTTGTGAAGGGTTAACTGCTCCAAATTCAGAGCTAAAATAACTTGAAAAGCTTGCTGTGACTTCTATACTCACCTCTAAACTGGCCAAGGAATGATTATCATCTAAAAACAGCAAATGTCCAACATTTCTGATAAATTTTGTTCCAGAGAGTTTAAGATGTGAAACATGTCCCGTAATAATGGAACCACCTGCCAGTACTTTGTTTCCTTCCAAATATGAGTCAACAATAGATGTTTGATAAATGTTTTCTACAGTGAGGACGGGCCCAACATTCTTCACAAAGTTGCAATTTAAAATCTGCACGAAGTTGTGAAATCCTGAAAGAGTTGCCATCGATAGTAATGGTAACTTTGGATGGTAACCTGAACTGCTTGAAATGTTGCTGTACTTAAGAATAATGTTGGATGAGCTACCAGTGATGCTTATATTTGTTCCTTTTACAGTGCACTGGCAGATCGCCACATCTGACATAGAGGCTTGGTGAATCACTGGCCTGCTATTTAGCCAGTGAAGATCGATCAAGCTCACTTCACAGAGCAGCACGTCTAATGAATAGTCAACTTCGACCAATTGTTCATTAACCCTATTTTAAAAGAAGTTACAAAAAAACTTTTAGAGGAAACCAAAGGTGAAAAATAGATTGCAGCATTTTTTATAAGCAAAGTTGGAGAAAATCAAAATACAAAGCGGTTGATAAGTTGTCACGTGAAAAAGCCATTGAACACACACACAAAACTATATTACTCTGTTCACTAACCGCTCTCCCCAAAAAGTAACTTTCCGTAAGCTCCATCTTCCACAGTCCAGTTTAATACTTTCCAACTCTTCATATTTTCCCGTGGAAATATTAACAGTTAGCGAGCTAACGTTCTTTCTAACCGCTAGATTAACGGCGTAGGATATGCTGTAACAGGGCTTCGATGAAGCCCCACAATTAGGAGAGTTTACTCCAGAAGTGTTGACGAAAAAGGTCGTTCCGGCATACAAAGGACAGTCTTGGTTTAAGACCTCCTGCTGGAGTGCAAATGCCGGAAATACTAAGCAGAGAAATAATTTTACCACGCCTAACATGGCCTTCATTATCAAGAGGAGAATCTAATGGATTTTAACCTTGGAATATTACTTAGCACGTGAAGAAGCGTCCGCCATTGCTGCTTCTAAAGGATGCTGGGAAAGTACATGAAAAGAAAAATTAAGGAGTGGACTTTAGGGACCAACGGACTACACTCTGTCCCATTCGTTAAACAATAACTGACTTGCCTCCAAGAAACATGATTGTTGCAGATCTACCAGCGGGCATAAAGTTCACTAAAGCATAGCTCACTGGCCATTCCGATTATTATTTTAAAAGGCACTTCTGTAGTTCTATGGGCCTCTCAACTTCAGTAGGTACTGGGGCCGGTCGAGAAAATAATTGATTCGAAGACTGTGCGTCACGAGAGAGAGCCAAATATTTTTCCCTACCTCTTGAACCAACCCGGTCAATAAAGATATTTTCATATGGCCACTCTTTCTCTTTCGACCCAGCACATTGCATTTTTTTCGAGCGAGACCGCACACAGGGCTATACGGCTTTTTGCGCCATCGCTTACTGTCTCTGTGAGACCGTAGAGGTTATTTCAAATGCATAGAATCTTTCAAAACGCATCATTCTGAAAAGGCCTCATTCTTTGTGTTAACAGGTTAAAAACAGAGGCTTTTGAAAACGGTAGTCTATAAAGCGTCACATACGGTCGATTTTAGGAGCAGTTTCGGGCGTTGTAGCGTGAATGATTGGGAAAAAAGCATCAATAGTTCAAATTAAAAGTTAATTGTGAGGAAAGTTTAAAACTATACAAAAAATATTGCTTTGTTTAAGGTTACACGACACGGAATATTTCTGAAAACCAATCGCATTAAATTATCCTCAAATAAAATAAATTCGTCATGAAATATTTAACAATTATTTCATGACCGCGCGTTGGATATGAGATGATAAATAGCCAACAAGGGACATAGAGCCAAGTTAACTTTCAACAATCTCGTGTCCAACAAGTGCGAATGGAATAATTGTTTCATTAAATTTCGTTAAATCCTTAATATTTTGATAATTAGAGCCTTTTTTTTCTCTTCTCAACAATTAGCGCAATGTATTTCCGTATAAGGTGACCCGGATTATGAGCTAATAACCGGAATTGAGAGAACAAGTCAGAACACCAGAAATGTAATATCCGGAGTTGAAAATTTAATAATGACCATTAGCTTTTATATTTGAATGCTAGATCACAAACTCTTTTTCGCGATCAAGAGTGCGTAAACCATTTTTCCTCATCCGTCCTTGGTATACATGTTGGTTTACGCAATTCTGTTCCCTGTTTGAGATTCATTCCATGTGATTATTGCGTTGGCATATCTCTCTCGGCGATTCATGCACAAATATTTAAAGTAGATCGAATGATCAAACGATTCCTAGAATTTTAAAATAAATGATAAATGTTTGCTAGCACATTAGCGTGAGGGAATTTTTGTCTTAAAAAATATCAACAGTTGTTTCAAGGCAGCCGGCTGTAAACACAAAGACAGTGCTTGCTTTTAGTGTCAACATGATCGAAAATTGCGTTTAGGTTGTAATGACTCAATATTTGTAAATGCAAACACAACTGTTTAGAGAACTTATTTCTACTCCAGTCCCATTTATGTAAAGTCAGGTAGAAAAAACACAGTATACATGATTTATAGCGCTTCTTGGAGAAGGCTTTCCAGCTGAAATATTATGGATATATATTGAAAAATGCTAACGAATGCAAAATAGATGAGTTTAAAATTTAAATAAAATAATTTATCATTTCAATAATCGCACACCCGATCTTAAAAAAGTCAAAGATCATCTAAATTTAGAAGCAAAGAAGGCAATTTCAGCCAATTTGACAACAATCTACTCTCTTCGGAACCCGTACAAATTAGGGTGGACTTTTAATGATACCCAAGTGCTCTTTGTGCGTGCAGTCCACATTTTAGTGAGAAACCACTTCGTTACTCAGGATTCAATCAGTTCGGTTTTACTCCTTCAAATGCTATAACACAAAAAGAGGAAAGAGGATACAGCCTAATTTCTCGTCCGTCTGGTCATCAAATAAAGAGAGATTTTAACAATTATTTGTCATGATCGTGAGACAAGGAGTAAAACAGAGAAATTTTTTTTCGTCTTTAAACTCATTCCTATGAGGAATCGAACCTCTGACATATCTTCGATTATCGGGCTCCGATGCTCTTCCATTAAGCTACAGAGACTCTATGCGTGTAAGTTACCAGGCGAATCCGAACTTCAAATGTCAGGATCTCGCACTCTGATGAACTACTACCAAGCTAGCTGCGGAGTACACGACAATTTGCTTGGCCTTTTTTACGTGACGCGGTCGAAAGCGTCGGATATAGAGAAAAAATTTGGAAGAAATATGGTAAATTTTGCGCTCGCGCGTCGAATTAAGAGATGTTTTAAACGTCTATCATATTACGCTTAAGACAATATGTCAACATCTTTTTATTTTAGGAACTAAGGATTTAATGCATAAATTCTTCAGTTGTATTTACTATTTGTTCAGTTTTGATTACCAAAAAAAAAAAGCCATTCTTCTAAGTGGAGGGGTCAACGCATCACTCACCCATAACACTTTTTCCGTTTTATGTGAGTGTTTTCATTCCTTAGGCAATATTCGGTTAGAACAGCTTATAAAAAATACACAGAGAATATGCGGAAAATCTAAATTTGACTTGAATTGGCAACTGTTTGACGTACCTTGTTCTATAGGCCGAATGTCAATCTAAACCGTCCTAACCAATAAGATCACAGAGTATGGCAAAAATTCGCCATCAGTCACAAGCTTTAAGCCAATCAAATCACAGATCCAACATTACATAACTTGACAAGTCCTGTTTTTTCATTATTATTATTATTTTGCACTTGCAGGGTTCTGCATTTGCTGAGACGAATCTGTTTAACCTCAGAGTCAAGAATAACATTTCTTCGTAACTAGGTAGGTGACACATCTCTATTGCAAGAAAGCGTATGGGTACAAGGATCTATCATAGTCAGGCTAAAGAATGTATCTGATTTTTTACTCAGACGCGATTTCTTTCTGGCACGTAGTATAATTAACTTTTTTTAAATCGATGTAGCCCCCGAACACGGAAAAAATTAATTCAGTATTGACGAAACTTTGCACAGCTCTAAGTTTATTTCTTAGCGCTCTCCTGTAGTCACTATTCAAAAATACAAGTCGAAAGCAATGTTTAAGGATCGATTATGTCATAATTCTGAGTGGGTAGAATAATTCTTAAGACCTACTTATCAATTTTATTGGATGCTTAATGTTGCGAATGGGGTCTACAATTTTTTAATCAACAGTTTGTTCATGTTTCCTTTCAAGCGAGACATTCATGGTTGGCAGATTTTTAAGATAAATAGCCGAGTCGAGAAGTGTTTTGCGCATCTTTTCCAATGGTTTCTGCTTTATAAATAACAGACGAGGAATAACAATTTGTTATTTGGCACAAGCACTATGGTTGTAGACTTCAACAAGGACGAAATACATTTATAGCAATGGAGTGAACCCTTGAGTTCATACATAATCTATTCAGGAAGATGCCAATTAAGATATCTAATGACCCCAACTGCGTGTTTAAGAACGTTCTCACGATCTCGCCTCTAGCTGTCTCACTTCTCAAGTCCCAGATACCTTTTTTAAAGGCCTTGTCTCCTTAAAAGAAACTGTTCTCGGAGATTTTGACCTAAGAATCACCCCATGCACTGCAGTCCTTTGACTCATTTATTAGATTGTTGAACTTTTGCTTATTCATCGCGTAGGGCTGAAAGCAAATAGAAGCCAGTTGTATTGTAGTCTGCACTTCTGCCGACGGAGAGATGATCCATAAACTTCATTTGCTG